ACGGTGTGACTGTTGGCACGGTGTTGCTGTTGGCACGGTGTAACTGTTGGCACGGTGTAGCTGTTGGCACGGTGTGACTGTTGGCACGGTGCTGCTGTTAGCACGGTGTTGCTGTTGGCACGGTGTGACTGTTGACACGGTGTGGCTGTTGAAGGTTGAAGATTGATGAAACACATACTGAGTATCATAAGACATTACTTTGATTGTTTCGTGGCATTAGGCATTTCAGTAAATGAGCTGTTTGGTATAACTAGTAACTGCCTCGTTGGGGCAAATAGATCTTTAGCAGTTTATTTTGTTCTTTTTTTATTTGATAGATGTGAAGTGGCTTAAGTGGACAGAAGTTCCAAAACTATACTAACCTGTATGGTGTTCGATTCCCTGTAATATTTTGGGCTCCATGCCCGTAATACCTGTCTCTACCCTCAGAGCTCTTCCTTAGAACTCTCCACTCTCCAAACCCGTTCCAGATATCTTTCCCCAACACTGTTTAATTACCATTAAATTCCTTTAAACAAAAATTCCTAAATGTTTTAAATTAAATTCCTTCCTGCCTTCCTTTAAACAATTCGTAAATTCTCTACTAATCACCTAATTGTCTCTATCTTTCCATACCTGTAAGTTAATTTCTCATCTTACTAATGTTTCTGATAACTCCGTCAATTGTACCCAATTTTCCCTTATTGCTTTCGGGTCCAACAAGCCATATTGTTCTGCAGTTCTACGTCTGCCTCTCGCTCGAATTGTCCTCACTTATATTAGAATTCTTCGGGAGCCACAATGTTAAAGTTCCCAACAGCAGCAGACTTGCCGAGTCTGGGCTCCGGCATAATCTTAGCGGCCGTGTTCATGGGGGGAATGACTTAGCACAGTCGAGGCGCCAGCTCAGCACTGGCCTTTTATATACGTCGCTTTCTGAGTTATCCGGAGATAAATTTTTGAGTCCGCTAGAGAGTTGAGCAAGGAACAGAGAGAGTTTTCTTGTTGGAAGCGTTAGTAGGGGTGCTGATGGAGGCGTTGGGGGTATTCGGTGAAAGCGTTGGTGGAGGCGTTGGGGGATTCGGGGAAGGCGTTGGTAGTAGATTTGTCTCCAGTCATGGAGAAGGCATTAGTGGATGGATAATTCAGGAGCGCGTTTAAGTACTGCAGGAGGGGATAGATAACGCGTTATTGGAGACGTTGGTGAAGGTGTTGGTGAAAGCTTTTGAAAAGGCGACGGTGGTGGAGGCATTAGTAAATGCGTTAATGGAGGCTTTGACGGTACAGTGGCTAGGAAGCTACGTCTGTATATATATGATTTGCGAATGTGTGGGAGAGAACCGTTGGTTAAGCGTTGGCGTAGGTGTTTGTGGAGGCGTTGACGGAGGAGGTGTTTGGTGGAGACATTCATGAAGGTGATGGTATACACGATGAAGGAGACGTTGATGGAAGCATTAGTGGAAGCGTTAACAGAGGCATTGACTTAGGCTTTCTGTGGATACTACTCTGTCACCTAAAGCCAGTAGAGCGCCTTATCTCTTAGCATTATCTCTTAGCAGCGGACTTAGCAGCAAGTCCGCTTAAGAATAATCCGATTTACAAATTTTCACGCACTTATTTTTTATTATTTTTTATTATAATAGGGTAAACATATTATAATATGTCGTTTAATTAAACGACCCAAAACCATGGCCATCATACGTATAATTACAATCGTCATCATACACCATCACCGCCTCCACCATCAAGAACTTATAACTGCTTCTGCCCGAACTTTAATAGAGAACCTTCTCACGTTTTATCTATCCATTAAGAATGTTTTTTCTTTTTTACTGTGGATAAAATTATAGATATTCTTATTTCAGTTACTACTGGTTTTTCTTCTAATCAGCTTAGCTCTGCATCTATTGACAGTCTCACATTACCTGATTTTATATCGCGTGATATTACTTGCTGTTACGTACCTACTGAGGCTAAGATTATGTTCCACCTAACTCAGAGTAATATGTAAACAACGATTTGAAAATTATTCTCGAACCTGCTTATTTGGCCACAGCCAGCTATGATCGAAGTTTAAGTTTGTAACTAGAAATCTCTTCTCTCAGTACTCTCCTTTGCATATACTAAGAGATGTTCATTTCATTACTGTCATTTTGCACTTGCAATACTTTGCACAACATCTGTTGCGTTTGTATAACTGGAGCTCCTGGCAGGTGTTTGCTGCCTTTTATATCAGTATCTGACACAAAATATTGCCTCTCTGGAAAGCAGCTCTCATAACATGCTGTTCTGGAGCTGCTCTGGTTGAGGAATCATCTGCGCAAAATAATTTTTGCGAAGATTTTTTTCCCTGGCCTATTACTGTCTGTGCCGCTAGTGGATCGGGCATATAGTATAAAACTCGCACTCTTCAGTTGTCTAACAACAGCCCAATGCTTTACGGCACTTGGGTTGTCAGTGCACCTGTTTGATAGACATAAAAAATCTTGATCTGTTCTGTGAAGCATTTGGTTTCAGATAACCTTTGTCACCTCTGTGTGCATTGTTGCATGTTGAGCTTTGATCAAGAGTCATTATTCGGGGAATTAATTCGGTCAGACTATCCAAGTGCATCGTAAATGAGCCCTGTCGTAGAGAACGTACACACTACAATTCTCATACTTGTTGTTCCAGCTCAGAAACGCAGTACTGAAACTGGGAGATGGTTTTTCCTCCTCTATGACACCAATATTCAAAACCAGATACATTTTCTGCTCAACGATCAGGACAACAACACAGTATTATTCACCAGTTCAGTTAATGTTCACAACACTTAATATTTGTCTTTATTAATTCATCTTTTCTTAGTCAGTATTAATGAAATGTTAAACAATTTAATTGACAATCAAATCAACAAGATTTTGAACATTTATTAGCCAAATTACACACACTTTCAACATGCAGTCTTTCTCTGGTGAGGCGCAATGTGAATATTTTGTAAATGGAGATTATCTTTTATTCAAATGGCTGCTGCAGTCCACAGGGCCATTCCGATAATGGCACGCAATCCATATCTGTTTACAATTTCAGTATTAAGTGCTTTTACAAATGTACCGTTTAGAGAAGAGTGCTAAATTTTACTACTTATTTTTAATGAATCCCTACTCAACCAGAGGTGTATACCTTTTGTTACTCCTTTTGCTGCGTGTTGTCAATATTAGTTTATATTAGTCATATATATTATATGACTAATATAAACATATATTAGTCATGTTCTCATATATTAGTTTATGATACGTTGTGAGATTTGAAGTAGCATACTTGTCAGTAAAGACTGACAATGTAACTATACTGAACCTTTTTGGTCATTTTCACAGCAATATGTGGAAAAAATATATATTCTCTTTCGTCAGATTTGAATTGCCAGAGCTAACCTTCACTTGCACTTTTATATTCCTCATATAGTTATGGAGCAACAGTTTTCAAAGACCCCCCCCCCCTCTTGTGATTTATCAAACATGGAGCACCTTCTTGTTTATCTAACGTGGAGCACACTCTTCTCTATCTTACCTGGAGCAGCCTCTTGTTCATCTTACCTGGAGCAGCCTCGTGTTCCTCTAACGTTGAGCACCCTCTTGTTCCTCTAACGTTGAGCACCCTCTTGTTCATCAAACGTGGAGCACCCTCTTGTTCCTCTAACGTTGAGCACCCTCTTGTTCATCAAACGTGGAGCACCCTCTTGTTCCTCTAACGTTGAGCACCCTCTTGTTCCTCTAACGTTGAACACCCTCATGTTCATCTAACATGGAACACCCTCGTATTCATCTAATGTGGAGTACCCTCGTGTTCATCTAATTTGGAGCATCCTCTTATTCATCTATCGTAGAGCACCCTCTTGTTCATCAAACGTAGAGCACCCTCTTGCTCCACGTTATGAACCACAAGGGACCCGTTGAAAACTAATTTAATGCCACTGATCTTAGTGAGCAACGGCAAAGCAGATTAAATTTATAATGTATGAGTCTTCGTCGTCTTAACCTGAATACTCCCTTACTTGTGCCTGCAGATTCTAACATTATCTCTTTGACTTTGACTTAACTCTGTCTTTCTAGCAATCGGTTCTTTAAAGCAATGACTCCTGTCCTATTTCTCTATCATATTTGTTTTTAAAATTATAGACGATGTTTGCTTTCACAACCTGATCCTTTAGGTCATTCCATTCCATATGTGTACTCATCTAGTTGTACTCACCTAGTTTTGTTAGCGTGGGTTTAGCTTTTGGCTCTTTGGTCCCGCCTCTCAACCGTAAATCAACTGGTGTACAGATTCCTGAGCATTTTGAGTTCATGCCCTCTGTGTGCGTGTGTGTGTGTGTGTGTGTGTGTGTGTGTGTGTGTGTGTGTGTGTGTGTGTGTGTGTGTGTGTGTGTGTGTGTGTGTGTGTGTGTGTGTGTGTGTGTGTGTGTGTGTGTGTGTGTGTGTGTGTGTGTGTGTGTGTGTGTGTGTGTGTGTGTGTGTGGGTGTATGTGTGTGTGTGTGTTTGTGTGTGTATGTGTGTGTGTGTGTGTGTGTGTGTGTGTGTGTGTGTGTGTGTGTGTGTGTGTGTGTGTGTGTGTGAGTCCATTGACTTATGTGTGCTTGCAATTCATTTGACCATGTCTACAAATATATATTTTAGTATTTACATAAAAAGACTGCAAATATTAAATTGCTCAAAATATGTTTTGAGCAATTGTCAACCAAATCCTCGTTTAACTGATTAAATTCATTGGTAACTCTTACACTGAATATCTTTCTGATATCCACGGGACTCTATATATTTGTAGTTTTGTGCTGTCTATGTTTGAACAATACTTCGTTTCGACAATTCCAATTAGAATCTTCTGCATCGTTATAATGTCTCTCGTATTCCTCGTCTCCTTGCTAATAACCGATACACTTAAACAAAACCGGCATACATGTTATTGTGTTATTTAAATATAGATTTGTTTAATCAATAGCTTTACATTTTAAGTTCAACCATAGGGCATAACACGTCATAAATACGAACAAACACTTTAATATTAAAAAGTATACAAAACACACTGACCTGAGAATGAACTGTACAAAAATATACACATCAATATTACGTAGTAAAGAATGATGGTGTGAGACACATTGATAATTAATGTGAAGTTTTAGCTGGATGTTCTTGGTGGTTTTATCCGACCTTCTCCCCCATGGTCTCCCTGACGAAGAGGGCCGTGAAGACGATGCCCAGGGCGCTGACGGAGGCGTATAGGCCGTAGAGACCCGACTGGTCGAGAGTGTTGAGCATGGGCGTGTACAGCTGCAGCACCGCAAAGTTCCCGAGGGTCCATACCGTGTAGCAGATACTGCTCGCCTGAGGAAGCACCACAACGGGGGTTTAGAGAGTGTGTTGAAGGCAGGGGATGAGGGGACGGTCATGTGAAGGGAAATACAGCAAGGGGGAATGATACATGAGAGCTACAACAAGCGAAGGCTAATGAAGGAAGCTTCAAACGTAACAAACGTGTTCATTGGTAAGCTTAATAAGAGGAGGAAACCACAAATTCAACCACCTTTAAATACCCACCTGTGTAGTGGTTACACAGGTGGTTATTAAACCACTTGTATGGCTACATTCAAAACTGCTGTTTTGAATGTAGGTTCTTTAGTTAACTCTTTTCTCATGTTTACATTCTTGGATCCATCAGTGTTGCTTCACCTCTGTGCCCAGGCGTTCTTCTCCTCATACTTAATGTACCTAATTCTAATGCTATTGACCCAACTTAAGAATTAAAATGCTGAAGCAAAATACCAATTCCACACATGTAATCAACATAAAGTAATGCGTCAAACCCACTAGATGAAACCCTCATCAACAATTACTTGCAGTCTTGATGAAACAAGTACCCACAGTATTGATGAAACAAGTACCTACAGTCTTGATGAAACAAGTACCCACAGTATTGATGAAACAAGTACCCACAGTATTGATGAAACAAGTACCCACAGTCTTGATGAAACAAGTACCCACAGTATTGATGAAACAAGTACCCACAGTCTTGATGAAACAAGTACCCACAGTATTGATGAAACAAGTACCCACAGTCTTGATGAAACAAGTACCCACAGTCTTAATGAAACAAGTACCCACAGTCTTAATGAAACAACCAACAGTCAAGACATTACAAATACCTACAGTCTTCACTAAACCAGCGTCTAGAATAAAAATAATGCTTTAGAACTATATTAAATTTTCCTTAGGGGGGGTGGAAATAGCCTAAGTTGCTCTATCCCTTTGAGATGTATTTTTTCTTGTCTCAATAAACATACTTGAGCTTGAACTATGATTTAGCCTTCTAGGTGATTATCATAAATCTGATGAGGCACTACAGTAATAATAAAGAATAATTGGTTAAACACCTGTACATTACATCCCTCAGAGCTTCGAGCAAGTGATACTAGAGTCGCTGAAGCCTCGAATCATTATATATAACTTTGATCAAAACCACAAGAGCCGTGATGAGGCTTCGAATCTATGCGTTGGGTATTTATTATTAACATCTTTATTGACAAAATTAATGACAATTTCGCCTAATCTGAGGATTTCAATATGTTCCCAGATGCACGCTCTAGTCAACTGCGCCACAAATAGGAACACCTCAGCACATAGGATCGAATCCGCATAACAGCTCCTGTGGATTTGTTCACTGACATATCACGATAATGTGATTTATCTGTGTTGTGATTTTGACGCTAGGAAAGTGCCCGTACCTGGGAACGTATGACAGTAGGGAAGTACTCTTGGGCGAGTATAAAAGGCATTAAGTTAACGCCGAGGGCGACCCCAGATTGGGCCACCATCATACAAACCAAGGGCAGCCACCCTCCGGGTATCACCACCGGTGCAGGGGCGGTCACTGACTCCATCAACAGGGACATGTCTTCCTTATAGCTCCTGTTTCGTGAGGCAGAATTAGCATTTGTTACATTTTAAAGCAAGTTTAATGTTCGTTTTCTAATCATCTTATCGTTAATTTTTTGTTTCTGTTTTGTGTTCTTCTCTTTCTCGAATTATGTATGTGTCCATTGCATATATTTGTAGTTATGTGCTGATTCTAAGTTCTACATCTTCTCTTTATTGCCTACTATTTCCTACCATTTAATTTTATTTTATCTCTGTGTTTTATCATTCTCATTGTCATCTCCGTATTTCATCTTTCTCATTGTATATGAAATTTTCCCTTAAAAATATTGTAAAATTTATTGCTGAGTTGAACGTTAACCTGAGTTGTACATGTTGATCAGATCACACACTAGAAGGTGAATGGACGATGACGTTTCGGTCCGTCCTGGACCATTCTCAAGTCGATTGTGAGAATGGTCCAGGACGGACCGAAACGTCGTCGTCCCTTCACCTTCTAGTGTGTGATCTGGTCAACATACTTCAGCCACGTTAATGTGACTCATCGCCTGAGTTGTACATACAAAAGTCTTTCCACGTACATCAACAGAATCATTCTCATCGGTCATAGTACCTCTTTCTCATTAACTTTTCTCATTAACTAAGTCAATGTAACAAGCCTCGTTGACTCTACCTACCTGCCAGGGTGTCTCTGGGTGACGCCAACGAATATTGACAACGCCACTAGACCGGTGCTCATCAGAAAGAATCCCATATACAGGATATTCTTGCGGCCGATCCTGTCCATGAGAAGTGAGCCAGCCATGCCTGCAAAAAACTGTGAACACAACATATTTCACTGTGACAGAATAAATATTCTTCAAAATTATTAATGAAAAACTAAAAATCAAGCTTTTGAATAATATTCTATTGTAGATCAAAAACAAGAACATCAAGAATATTCTTCAAAGAATATTCTTTGAAGAATGTTCACTTTAGAGAAAGCACACACGTTACCCAATGAAAGCTGTCATCTACACTTGTTAGTGATATTACAAGTACAAGTTGTTATGTCAGAGCGAAATAAATCGGCGTAACATTACAATTCACACTACAAAAGACTTCATCATCTAGTGAATAAGCTCAAACTGCTCTGAGTTCTATTGACGCGCTCTTACGCAAGTTCCAACACATGAATGATTATGATTCGAGGTAGCCACTGTCCCACCTGAACGACCATAATGAGGATGGTGCACAGTTCACTGTTCACTGTCGATCCTGCTCCCTCGAAAATCCTCGACGCGTTGGCATTTAGAACCATGTAGCCTGAAAGTACATGATATATACAGTATAGTAATAGTACAAGTTTAGTAAACAAAAACAAGTATAGTACAAGTTTAGTTAACAAAAACAAGTATAGTACAAGTTTAGTAAACAAAAACAAGTATAGTACAAGTTTAGTAAACAAAAACAAGTATAGTACAAGTTTAGTAAACAAAAACAAGTATAGTACAAGTTTAGGAAGCAAAACACTGTGATTTTTTTCATTATCAGGGGAAAGCAACAAGCCAATACGACTTTATAGGACTTGGAAAGGGTCAGGATTATGACTTGGGATGGGACGGGGGTGAAGGAATGGTGTCCAACTACTTGGACGGTCGGGGATTGATCGCCGACCTGCATGAAGCGAGACCGTCGCTCTACCGTCCAGTCAAAGTGGCTGGACACAAAACACGATGAGCCAACAATAACGTAGCTGAGAATTAAGACACCCAACTAACGCATCTGAAAATATTTAAGAGGTACATTTCGGTCTGTTTGTTTTCAGAACTCTTAAAGACAATTCTTCGTATGTGACACGATGTGTCCGAGGTTTGAAAAGGTAAATAAATACTTAAGAGTAAATTTTAAATATTGAATTAGTAAGAAATCATAAAATTATATCTTTTCCGTTTTTTACTGATTAACGTAGTATTACAGATGATTTTCTCTAAAGACTTCACCAGCACAGAAAACAATCTCAAAATCCTCTACTTCTTCAGGCATGACAATAACATGATCTCTTGTTATATAACAATATATCATGTTATATCTATAACCCACACTCTTGAGTTCCTCGGGAAAGACTGTATTACGTTCCATCACTACTTTCAAATTCCATACGAAACAAAATAGTCTTTTTCCATCCACCAAGAATTCGAGTACCTATAGCGACCGTGGATTGACTCTACACAATGTATTCACTGGCATCCCCAAAATATAAATCATATTACTTTTGGTTTAACAGATAGCATAACGGAAACTGCAATAGCTTAACCATTACCCGAAACCTAATCTGCTACGAACATAGTCTGAAAAGAAGGTTAGGACAATAAGGCCTTCATTAAGCTCATTTCCTTTCTATATGCACCAATGTAAAGCTGACACATTACCTGAGAAAGTATTAATGACCATCAAGGAGCAGATTATAGCCAAAGACCTGAAGACCTCTTTCTGGATCAGTCCTCGCCACTTTGGGCCTTCCTCCTTGGCGTGATTCATGTCTTTGTAAGTCTGCATCTCGGCCTGAAGGTCGGCGTGCTTACCCCGGAGTTTCAGCAGGATATTTGCTGCTTTCTCGTCCTCACCTGACAAAGAAGAGTTGAAATTGAAATACATCATGTCCTTTTTCATTTGAGTTACTTTCTTTGTTAATTAAAAGCGAGCTCTGTTTTTTTTTTAACTGTTATCTGTTGTAATGCGACTCTGCTTGAATTTCAGAAGCAGGAACTGTAGTATGTGTAAAATATACATTTACGTTAGAATGAAAACCATTATATGATGAAAAAAACTCTGACATGGAACACAGTACTGAGTTCTCTTGACAAGTGGAGACTTCCTGGTAACTTTTTAAATCCCCAAAACATCTTCCATTGATGGAGACTGGCGTAGTGCTTGTTATAGGGATGGAAATTCCTAGTAGAATTTGAAAAGTTATATTTTAACATTGAATCTTCTTGTGGTAATCCACGTTACATTTGATAATATTTGTGTTTGATGTACCACCAATATGAACAGCTTCTGTATAGGGCGAGTAAATGTATTTTGCCGTTTGGCTTAACCTTTACTTGTTAAATTTGTTATTTGTAAAATTTTAAACTCAGATTTTCTAATCTGAGAACCTGTCTGCTGATCGATAGTTCATTCAAATCGATTCTAAAACCTGAGGTACTGTGTACTATTACTGTTGACTCTATTCGGTCAAAAAATATGTAGCTTCTACAAAACGTTTAGGAAAGTTGACTTCTATTTGAGTCAACATGGATTGCGCTCCCGCAGTAAGATGAGACTGAACTCTGCACTGAGTTTATATAACTTAATTAAGAGAGTTAGGGAAATCTTAAATCTAACTTCTTCCCAAGACACACCTTACATCAGTGCGGATTTCTCAACATTCAGAGTAGATGCTATTGGAAGAGAATTTTCTTTAAAAGGTGGAGAAATGTAATTCGAGGCTAATAACAGTTTGCGAGTTTGTATGTATGTATGTATGTATGTATATATTTATATCCATTAAAAAATGTGTTATTACCTTTTTAATAGTCTTACAAATGTTCTTTAAACCTTACACTTTGCAATAAGTTTTCCTTATCTATAATATGAACATCAACGTTATCCTTAAATAACTTACCCATTGATCTTGAAATCTTTTGATAATTTTAAGGTTTTCTGGATCGCCTCAGATCACAGTCCATCCTTCTAAAATGAGGGTTATTATAGTAACTATTTGGCCGAAAATACCAGCATGTAGTCATTAATACATATTGGCAGTGTCGACTAAATAGATACTGTAAGTTATCTCATTTCAGGAGTTGTAGTAGAACAATAAATCCTTCACACTTTAAATGATTTGTGATGTTTTCAATGTTACACTAATCTGTTAGATTAACATGTTAAGATCACTACAATCCCTTTCTGTGGTTGATTGTGCAATAAATCACTGAACTATTTGCATCCTAGATGTTTAACTCTGTCCATGGATGACAGAAGAAAACGTATATATGCTGATTAACATTGTAAATATGTGGCCACGTCTGTGGTAGAAAAAATAATAATAATAATAATAATAAAAATAATAATAATAATAATAATAATAATAATATAAAAAATGACTCGATAAGACTGGGGCTACTAAGACTACCACAGCTCCACTACCAAGCCTACAGAAGTAGTAGTATGCATTAATCAGTCATAGAAGACTATGGAGTTGCGCTCCGGAGTGGCCTCTCCAGGGCACAAAGCCAGGATAGGTGAGATATACGTACTGTACAACAGTACAGACGGCTGAACTCACCTTTAAGGACGAGGAGAGCAGGACTCTCAGGAAGCCAGATGAGCGCAACGAGAAAAAGTGTGGGAATAATTGCAAGAACGAGAGCCACAACGAAGTATCGGGCTCCGTACCCAATGCACACCGTCAGCAACTGACCTGCAACACACTATTACTGCATTACATACAACTATACAATGCTATATGCGTACAACTCCAGTCGTACCAACACGTATCTCCAACTCTATCCTACATAATGTCAACACTTGGATGTTTCATGTAATTAACAGTAGTTTGAAATTATTTTAGAATTTTTTTTAGTAATAGTTATAATAAAAGGTTTAGTTAGCTTCGTATGTAATTAAGCTTAGGGTCGGATATATTAAAAGTTATCTTAAGTATATTTTATAATTCCACAACGTTAATAGATATACCAGTACATCATAAATACAAACAAAACTGTTCTAATCTAACAATTCATAATATCCTGTCAGATGCAATACATAAAGACGTCAGACATATTACATAAACATTTGTCTGGGAAGAAGATCTGAGAAATAAATATGTGTATATATTTGTGAATCTTTTAGCATAACACATGAGAATATATTATCTTATTTAGTGTATTATTTACGTTATATACTATTTTCAAATTAACATAGTGTATATTGATTTTTTCTTCTTTACTATATCACGTACATATCTGATTTTGCTTTAACTATTATATTAGATTAGATTATTGAATAATATTAGTTCTCAAAATATATTATATGGTGTGTGCAAGGGTGAACTTCTGAGCCCCTCTGGTTAACGGTACACTTAAGGGATCTAGAAAAAAACGAGTTTGGTTGATGAATCAGTCTCTGTGAAATTTTCGAGTGAAAATTAATTTTCGTATAACTTTTTAGCGTGAAGTGTAAGACACAGGTACCAGAGGAAGAAGATTTTCATTGAAAGGTTGACTGATTGAGTACAAGACTAACAAAAGATAATGCGTGTGTGTGTGTGTGTGTGTGTGTGTGTGTGTGTGTGTGTGTGTGTGTGTGTGTGTGTGTGTGTGTGTGTGTGTGTGTGTGTGTGTGTGTGTGTGTGTGTGTGTGTGTGTGTGTGTGTGTGTGTGTGTGTACTCACCTAATTGTCACCTATTTGTGCTTGCGGGGGTTGAGCTTTGGCTCTTCGGTCCCGCCTCTCAACTGTCAATCAACTGTTTGTGTGTTTGTGTGTGTGTGTGTGTGTGGGAGGGAGTGAGTGCCCACGAAGGAAGGGGAGGGGGGGTTGTAGAGGCATTCCTGTACCCACCTTTCATAATGCCAAGGTTAAGGACCATCGACATAGTGCCCCTGACTTGATCATCAGCCAGTTCAGCAGTGTAGGCACTCAGCACGACCGCCAGGCCACCCATGGCCACACCTGACACACACCTGTCACGGCGACAACAGGTATGAGACTTGCACTACATTCATGACACTGAAGGAATTGCATACGAACACGCCAGTTGAAGCAACAGCTAGAATGATGTTAATTACATGACACACAAGCAAGTGTGTAAAGACACATTTGTAAAGACAACAGCAAGTACGAAGCCAAAGATCATGTATAACACTCGTGTCATAAAGTAGGGAGATACCTGTCACGGGTTCATCAGGTGTGGAGCTATATGAATAACTCTCCAGTACGTGTGTAGTGACATATTTGCCTTGACAATGCTTTACATATTAGTGGCTTTATTTAATATTCTACTCTGAACCTTCAAACACCTTTATAATATATTAATATGTGTATTTTGTAAATAAATTTATTGTTATAATATTATTATTACATACATGAGACTCCAGTAAGTGAATAGTGGCACACCTGGAATAATATTAAAATTTTTAAGAAACAATTTCTTACATTTATGACACAGTATCTAAGAGATAAGCATTGACTGTCCTTTCATACAAGAGGAAACTATGATGCGTTAGAAACTATACAGGAGTATACTGGAGATCATCGATAATACATATGATGTATGGTATATACGATGTTGTAGAGTCATTTAAAGAAATACACAGCCATCAGAAACAGGAAACAGGAGCAGAACCTCGCAGACTCTTGCGTGATTCAACTCAGTAGGTCAACATTAGGATAGTCAATATAGCAAATGGGGCCTTCTAAAAGAATCAAGGAATATATAGTTCACGCTTACTCATTTTTATCCTACAGAATAGATATATTTTTAAACATAATTTCCTATATAAAAGATTTTCCACGACTCGAACCTCACCTGTCACCAAAATGTGGCTATGAAACTACTGCCTCTCTCACTCTGTCGGACTTGACGGACTCATTACAGACTAGACGCTAACTACAAACACAGTTCAGTCAAGGAGATTGCTTATTTAATAGCTCGCATGTGCTATTAAACCGCTAATCACTACGAGGGCCAACGAAGTATTATTTGTAAAATTATTGAAGACGGAGAAACTGAATAGGTAATAATAAAACCTACGTACGTTAAAATTAATAAAGAAGTATGCAGAACTAGAACACAATAAATTGCCGTTAACGCGTTTCCTCCAAAAAATAATTTGCATTTCACTTTTGTGAATGCACATTAATGACACTATGTAAAAGACACATCAAACACTTTATGTAGGGCATACGTAAATCTGTGTATCTATGTATTTACGTATGTAGGTTAGCTTAGCATTTTAAAAGCACCGAATCACCTTCTGTGGTTGAGTGTTCAATAAACCCTTGAACTATATGTTTAACACTTCACTAACCCTGTCCATGGAGGACAGAAGAAAATGTATATATGCTGGTTAGCATTGTAAATGTGTGGCCACGTCTGTGGTAGCAAATAATAAAAAAAATAATAATTAAGATAAATAAAACAACCTAAATATTATCATCGGAGAAAAGTATGAGAGTCCTGATCCCCATATCACTTTCCAGGGCATTTTAGGACCAACACATACTGATGACCTTAAATATGCAGTATTTCCGGAGATCTCCATCACCCCAAGTGGCTTAACTCCGAAGCTCATTTTCCGGCCTGCGAAGTCTTTTAATATGTTCTGCTCTTTCTCATCTTTGAGCTTTAGTTAACGTTTAATGCCACTGAACAGCGAAAACTATTATTATTATAGCTCTCTTGATGCTTGCATCAGGGAGATGGTATTCTCGAATTAGTTATCAGTATAAAAACAACAAGCAACACTATTTCCTGCAATTTAGTGGGCAATTATTATATAATTATCTCTGGCATCCACAAGCTAGATTCGCATCATATTATTTTAGTAAAAAGGGGAATGGTCATCGCGAATTTAAAGCTGAAAATATGTATTATGAAATGCAATATTTGTCAGTTATTTGTAAGAATTCTTTTGTTTTCTCGCATCTGAGTTATATGTTATAAAATTAAGTCATCATGGTGAAATTTGAGTCATATTAATTCACTGAAAATATTTAATATACTATACATATTCTTGCTTGCGTTCTCTAACGTGTTGCTTGTGAGATTTAAACGTTTCTAAAAATCTACTTTGTCTCGCCCATATATATTGGCAGTGTTGTTTACAGTTTAAGTAAGACGTAAAGTTTTAATTTATTTGTATTGCTCTCTGTAGAGCCTAGGGCAGTGTATGCTCCTCTGAACATATTGACCTTAAAGTTTCCACGAGAATATCGTCCTGTATGCTTCACTTAATATATGCTCCTGTATGCTCTCCACGTAGTTCGCCGTGTATGTTTCCCTGTGTATGTCAGCATTAATGCTTTCCCGTTTACATTGACAAGTATGCGTCCATTAGCATATCACCGTGTACGCTCACCTGGATATCAGGATTCCAATGACAGAGGGCAGGAGAGCCACTCCCAGCCATCCCAGGATGGCCAACACTCCGAGAACAATCATCGACTTCCGTCGTCTCCATCTCAGTGCGACGGATGCTGTGACCCATGCACCAGGCAGCGATCCCAGCATCACCAGGCTTCCTGTCGGGGTTAAAGTCGTGTTAATGTCGTTTACAGATGATCTGAAATGGTTGTTCTAAGATAGTTATATCTCACGATCAAACAATAAGTCATTTTCATTAATACCGAGAATGTCTTGATTACAGTACTAGCCAATTTTGGGATTATTTGACAGTCTCGTAAATCTTGACACCACAGGAAATATTGTGATGTACTGTGACGTAATAGATACCAATCATATCATCGTGGCCTTGCAGGGAGATGTGGGTGCCATATATAGTGGTGTCACTTTCCTGAAGATCAGCAGTCATGACGGATGGGAAGGTGAACAATGTGCCAATCATGATGGTGCCTAAGCTGGCCTGCATCACCTTGCACAGCTGGAAGCACACGATTGTAAGTTAGGGAGCTTATCAATTTTGGAGATCCGTTTGTCTTCTCGTGACAATTTACATTCATTCCGGGAATAAAGAAATGGATAACTGGTTTGATAATTTATTCCATATTGGTCATAACAAAACTTTTATCCCAGATCATCACCAACATTCATAACATCTTACTGACCTGTCTAAAGATGCGTCGCTTCCTGACTTTAGGGGACTCATCTGTGTCCATATCCTCCATTTTGAGATGCCAAGGTTATGGAGCCAAAATGATTGCAAAGTTCTGCTCACGAACAGCGAACTACTGGACTTGATTACTATAACATCTTCTGTATGGGGAATAAACAATTGAAAATAAAATTCCTGTTAATTGGATATCATATTAAATTTACATTTATAATATATAAAAAGCTAACAGGAAATTTTGTTTAACTGAGACAAAAACGTCGTCAGTAGAGGAAGAAAATTAGTATACTGTCTCTACGAGACGGGTAATTTTACTTGAGTAGAAAATTGAAGACACAAATTGTTATTTTACTATAAACAACACGATCAATTTTTTTTTTAAATTTATAACCAGGTGCCCAAAATATCGTTTTCTACCTCTGTTAGCTGTGATGTACCAGCCTGCTATAATTGTGAACAGACGATTGCTAGACCCAGTTTTGAGAAACACCAATGTGAGAGAATGAAAGTACTTAACGTTTTCCAGTAAATTTATTTAACAAAATAAATTGGAGGTAAGGAAACCTTTATAAAAATAAATCAACTCTCTCTTAAAGCTATATTATTAATATCATAACATTTTTATACGAGAATTCTCCATATAAATCTTTCTGATTCGGTATCATAAGAGAAGTAAACAAAGTATTTCTGAACAGTTTAAAAATATATAAATCAAGTATCATATATATAAGCTACATGAGTGAACGCCTCTCGGTTAGGTTTATATGTTATGTTATTCCCCATAATAATTTAAAAATATTTTAAAACGTAAAATTGTCTTATCCTTCAAAACGGTATTATTCACTCGAAGCTTTACATTTTTAGTACTAGATAACACTTTTAAGTTGTTTGTGCTCAGTTACAAATAATATAAAATAAAATTATGTATTAAATTTCCGTACTTTCGAGCTGTTGTCTTGTAATACTAGTGTAGGATGAAGCTCTAATAGCGTGTTGCAGTATTATGTAGCAAGACAAATGAAGTTTTTTCTTGCATAACTAGTGAGCTGTGTTGCAACACAAGTGCAGTGTAGCGATGCAGTACTAATGTGTTGTGCAGCAAAAGTAATGTAGCGTTACAGTACTAAGGTAGACTTGCGTTGCAGTACTAATGTTGTGTTACTGTATTTGTGTTGAGCTGTATTGCTGTATTAGTGCTGTTTTGCAATGCAAGATAAGTGTCTTTATGAATTACTTAAGTAACTTAAAGCTGTTGTATTCATTTTAGTGTTGGGTTTGAGGCCAATATACCTCTAGGGGCTATAATGGCTTCAATAATAACTTATTGGAACACCAGAAAAAACACTTTTGTTCTGAACATTATCTAGGACTAAATTAAACTGTCAGAATAAATACAGGGATAAGCGAACTATACCTCCCAGTGAAGGCATTCGTTGCGCTGTTTCTTTCAGCGTAGATTACCTGCCAAAAACATTAGTAGTTTTTGGCGTTCATTCTCTTTTTGATTAAAATATTTTGTGATAAACTGAGAATGTAGTGAATACTGAAGCTCAGTTACGTATGCCTTTTATTACCTATTAAAAACAAGATTTATATGCTTAGCAAGAAATTATTAAAATTATTTCTTGGTTATAAAATTACCTCTTAAATTTTTTCCTAAATACAAAAAAAAATAAATAAATAAAAAGATATAATTTTCTCTTACGTGTTTTCGTGTATTATTATTAGTACTTTTGTTTTGGTCAACTTGGGAGTTCTATGATGAAATCACCATTCACTCTGTCATGAAATTATTGAATATTATGTTAATTATAAAGTGTTATTGAATGATATTATCAGTATGATGTTGTTAATGAAATTTGAACTTGGTTTGCCTAAAATTATTCAGCAATCACCTGAGATAAGGATATAAGTAAGTTAAGGTCCATTTTTAAGTTCAAAACAATTGTAAGGTCAAAACAATTTATTGACATTGTTTACTGAATATTCGTTAAGGCTTATATCCAAAATCTGATGAATCAGATTCGCATCATCTTGGAATCACATTAAAAAAAATTCTGCTCTCTTAGTTCTTATATCAGAAGTTCTCAAACCAATGAAAGCATATTCCTGTGGGTTTCTCTAGCATATATCAGCTCCAAAGTTGTGTGATTGCTAGGAACGAACTTGGAATAGTGACATACAGGAGCAGTCTTGGAGCATATGTACACTAGATCAACCATTGAACAAACATATTGTCTTGAACATCCTCTGAGCATATTTATATATAAATATACTTGAACAACCATGAAACATATATACACTAGAGCGACCTTACAACTTATATTCACTAAAACGACCTCGAAGTATATTTTCATATAAGAACAACCATGAAGCAGCCAAGGACCATATATCCACTCTTGAGTCAAACAGGATCATATATGCACATTAGAGTAACAATTGATCATATATACACTCATAATAGAGTCAAACACATAAACACTGGAACAATGAAACAATTAAAACTATTAAACACTACAAAGAGAATTAGGGACACACACATGCCCCAATTTTGAAATCAGTGACTAGGAAATTGTCGTAAACATTCGATTTGCTCAATTATGCAAAACAAAAAATTCCGGGGGTACAGTCTTTTCTCCCACTGTAACATCGGAGTACAGACAGATTACAGGTGATGAGGTATATTAACCTGAGTTAACTAATTACCCTGTGATTTCTGTGTGTATTGAGTAATATCATTTCCTAATAAAAATAATTAATTACATTTTTACTATTTACAGATTTATTGGTCAAGGGAAAAAATATAATTTTAGTTATTATTTTGACCTAGTTATTAGAAACTTAATTTTTAATAATAACTATTTTTAAAACTATAACAGAAGTTTGCTTATAGTAGGTTAAAGTTCAAGTTTTCAGATATGGTTATCAAAGAGACAAGAGCCATAACTGTTTTCTGAGCACCTGTCAATCTCTTTCATATGTCATCCATTATTTCACGAGGTGTATCTTCAGAATAAAAATTAATATAGAGAGTAAAGAGTGTTATGTGGTAAAATAATGATTATTTAATGAGATAATGCTACCTAGAGGCGACCGATACTCTTATTCCTGAAGTACGTTAGACAGCTATAAGCTGTCAAACGAAAAGCTAATAGCAGATGTGTGGTTTGGTCAACACAGCTATACGGTGTCTTGTCAAGCGAAGGCATTGATATTTCTGTTCCTCACTGTGGGGAGCCAATACTCTCCAAAATGCTGCTCACAACAGCTACTTCATGGGATTACATTTACTGCCTGGTAAACAGAGGCATCAGTTGAAAGTTAACGGGATATATATATATATATATATATATATATATATATATATATATATATATATATATATATATATATATATATATATATATATATATATATATATATGTATATATATATATATATATATATATATATATATATATATATATATATCCTTTAGAAATAAAGAAATATATTTAAAATTATCTCGTGACATCACCCAGTAATTCACAGAGATTAAGTGTTTACTCATCACTCACCAACAGATAACGGGGACGTCAGCTACTACAACGGAACATCTCTATCAGCCACAGCCAGAAATAACAGGACTCAAGGACTGACCCAAATAACACCCATGAACAAGTTAACTTCTTAAAACATACGAATGCACGAATAGAACTTTCACGAACAAATAGTAAAGGTTATTTTTTAAGTAAAGAACAAACCCGAAATATAAGCTGATCACACGGCAATTTAAGTAAAAAACAAGTAATATATGACACTACACCAAGCAGGAAGATATACCCTACAGGTACAAATTCTAAAAAAAAAAAATTGATTATACTCATGTTCACACCATAGATAATAACATTCACAATTACGAAACAGGAATCATATCTAACTTATTAACACATATAACTAACATACATCTAAATACAACATACATCTAAAGCCACACATTTCAAGCAAACAACTCCAAAGTAATCAAACCACTGTGTTCCTATCCACTCTTCTCTTTTTTTTTCCCCAACCCAATTTGGGTCTCTATATTTATCCTGGAAAATTTATAGCGTATAGTGTAGTACGTCAGAGAGTTAGTCTTATACTCCTGGTAATGACGGATGCCAACACTCTGTGGGCATAGTAAACACAGTCTCTATTGTATATGAGATTACAACAGCTTTTCCTCCCAACCTGGTTTGTTGACACCAGCGTGTTCTGGTCTCCACCACCAGCCTGTTCGTGTCATCACCAGCCTGCACGTATCCTCACCAGCCTGCACGTATCCTCATCAGACTACGTTTGCCTTCAGCAGCCTGTCCCAGTCACCACCAGAAACACCCACCTCACACGTCAACTGAAGGAACACGATGCTCCTCGATACTCCTCGCCGCTGCTGGCCTCTCACTGTGTCTCTACTGAGACGTTATCAACCCTGCTGTACCTCACACTGGAGAGATAACAAGATTCTTATCAGCTGAACTATACTTGAGATAACTTATTGCTTTATTAATTCTGCGCCATCGTAGTAAAAACATTCGTGCTTGCTTCTGCTCGATTGATCGTCTCAGTTTTTTGTGGTGAAGAATGCGCACATCTGTGTAATGTTTGTTAAGTCGTAACTTAAAAGATGAAATTTTCTTGTTACATATTGGTAGATGAAGGTGTCCAGGCTTCTGGTTGATGAGGGTAGCCACGCTGGTAGTTGATGGGGGTAGCCAAGCTCGACAAGGAATTCTTATTTCCTCCTGCCACATGAACTACATAAGGCTCTCTTATTGCATATTTACTTACCTTCTGCCTCTTAGGATGATGAGTTAAACATTGTCATAAATTTCAAAACAGTAATACACAAAATTAACAAAATATATTGAGCGATAGAGAGCGCTCAGGGATTTCTAATTTCCGCGTTATTTTGCATATCATAAATTGCATCTTCTACATATTATATTAAAACACATGAAATAATCAGAACAGCGGAGATGGTTAATAAATTATCAGCTTTTATTTTGAGTTTATATAACAACTTTTATTTTAAGTTTACAAACCAGAACTTAAACAATGAAAAACATTTAAACCAAAAAATTAATATGTCAGCCAATTCTTCCGTAGTTCTGATTCCACTCGCAAAGTTCAGGATAGACATCTGATGGAATAGCGAACCCACAGGCCTTGCCTGGGAGTCCAACTTGATAAACAGGGGACCCCAGTGAGTTGCCGGATGGTCCGTAGTTGCACACATACACACGGCCAAGACTAGATCCGGCTTGGGAATAGTACACTGCTCCACATCCTACTTCTCGTGTCACTCCCCATACCATCTGCCACATAGGAAGGCAAGGGAATATGTAGTTAAAATTTATATAATACACAAAGATATAAACACAGCTAAATTCTCGACTCATGTTTCCAGGTCCCTGACGATATTCTTCACGTAAAATGACCTTAGTGTGCTACTATAAGTTATATTTCATAAATAATGTCGTTAATTTGTTTATACATCCATAAATGAGCTTCCAATTAGTGTTAATCATTAAAGTTAATCTTTATTGAGATCGATTATATACCCTTTGATCTCTGATCTACCTTTTTAAATGTTCGAGCTTTAATACCCGAGATGTGGGGGTATTTACTATAGTATCACAAGATGTATTTACTCATTTGTATCTACTAATTGTATTTGCAGAATCGATCTATTACTCCTTGGACCCCGCCTTTTTATTACAACTTTGTGATACTTAACGCACCGCACCTCTGAGTATATAGAAATCTTACCGAACAGGTTTGTCCCTTAGGCAAGTTGCATTCATTACAATACGTGATCACTTACAGCGGTTTCATAGCATTAAGTGTCAGCTCATTCGGGCTAGAACCTCTCTTGGAACCGATTTTTACTGATAAAATAACTCTAGAGTTGCTCGGGTTTTATACCCTTTAAAATGTTTTAGTCTCGAGATCATTTTAATTGAAAGTTTTTATTGTATTAATCACTGAAATATATTTTATTGTATTAATCACTGAAATATATTGATATTTTATAGTTAATTTGTTCTTATATTTTGCTGGTTTTATAGATGTTATCATACTCTGTTTTTCTCCGAAACGCTTAAACATTAGGAAAATAATTAAAGATTTATATTTTTTCGTTCACTACTGTTCCTCTTAAGTGCACTTTTTGGAGGTGGAAAAATGTAAAACTGGAAAAAAATGTGTCTATGAACGCATATGACAATTAGTGAAAAAATGGGCAAGAAAAAACTTTCAAAACTTTACATGCCACCGACGATGTGTTGAGAAACGCACGCAGTGGACACCATATCTGTCTCTTCAATAAATGTTAATCCAATTAGCTTCTGAACAAATCCACAAGGGCCGTGACGAGGATTCGAACTTACGTCCGAGATCACCCCAGACGCTGCCTTAATCGACTGAGCTACGACATGGTCATAAGACATGGATTCTTCATTTGATACATCACGATATTGTGATTACTGTGTGCAATGAGTTTCTCCTCACTTAATGAGCATTTACACGCTTTTACAAACGTTCTGCACGGATGTAAATCATCCACATCCCATGGCTGACTTGTACTATCGTATCAACGTTTCGTACAGCTGTACCCCCAACCACTACGACCATTGTCCACAGCCTTAATGGCCGTAGAGTCTCAGGTAGAGACTTACCTGCGAGTAATGGTGGATTCTTCTGCTGGAGTTGTCCGCATGGAAGCTCAGGGCGTTGGCTCTGGGGAAGTCCTCCACCTCGTCATACCACGATTGGATTGCCTCGGCCCAGTTCTGGCAGCAGATTGATTGATTGTTAGAGGTTAAGCCACCTAAGAGCTGGCACGGTCATGAATAGCCCGTAACTGGCAGCAGGGAGGGGGTGCCATATATATAGAGAGGAGTGCCATATGTAGGAAGAGGACTTGAGAATGGTCCAGGACGGACCGAAACGTCGTCGTCCCTTCACCTTCTAGTGTGTGGTCTGGTCAACGTAGGAAAAGGAGTTCCATATATAGGGAGAGAAGTGCCATATATATGGAGAGGAGTGCTTATATACAGGGAGTCAAGAGCACTTCGTGAGCTTCACAGCTCTTGGCACTCCTGGCACTCACACTCACAGGAGTGGGTGTGAGGGCCAACTCTTATTTCTTGGGATAAACGTTAATGCTGTTTAACACCTTTGTTGTAAATTTTAATATAGAGAACTTATTGTATGAATCTATAAATAAAACCATGTTTAATTCTTAACAAAAAATTATGAACTTTTAAAAATAAAAGTTTTGCAATAGCGAGCTGAGAAATAGAGAGAGACTTGTTCTTTGGGCGCTGAAAATATTGTCTTGAAGAAAAATCTCAATAAAATGCTAAATGTTATAATCAAATGTAAATAATGTTAATATTATCGTTATCTAAGTGTTGTTATCTTGTTATCTAACAGACCCAGTTTCCACCAACACTAAAATTTAACTGTTTATCAAACACTTATCATTATTCAGCACAGTGCAATGATTAAATACTGAAAAGGAAAATGAGCCACAGCAGAAAATGAGAATATGAATAACAGCTGAAGACATAAATAAGTCGAATAGCTCTAAGCTATGTGAATGTGAAGCTCATAAATTAATTAAATTTGATTATATAAAAAAATCGATACAAAATTTTATTTGCGAACATGAAGAGAATCAATAGTGAAAAAAGCCATTCAGTTCAGCAAGTGCTCGACAGTGTAAGCATATTAAGGTGAGCAAACACACACACACACACACACACACACACAATGTAGATATGATAGAACCCAGTAGGCTCAGGAATCTGTACACCAATTGATTGACAGTTGAGAGGCGGGACCAAAGAGGCAAAGCTCAACCCCCGCAAGCACAATTAGGTGAGTACACAGAGGCGTTGCGACTGAGTGAATAGCGCTCTGGGATCGTAGTCCTAAGGGCCCGGGTTCGATCCCCGTCGCAGACGCAAACAAATGGGAAGAGTTTATTTCATACTGCTGGACCGTTCTCTTAGCAACAAATATGTACCTGGGAGTTACACAGCTGCTACGGGCTGCTTCCTGGGGGATGTGTTTGTGTGTGTTAGAGAGAATTGTAAGTATAGACACAATAGAGGAAAAATACATGAATAAATAAATAAATTGGTTAGGAAAACGGGGTCCAAGGGCTAATAGCTCGATTCAGCAGATACAATTAGTAAATACAAATAGTAAATACATACACACACGCTATTTCTATCTAATGAATTGCAAAGTTATTTGATTGCGAACGTGAGTGGGCAGATCCAAATTAGTTCAAGCAAATACAGTGCTGTGATTATGGAAACTACGCCAGTGACATAAAGGGCCGGTATTTCTTGCCACAGAAATATATATTTCAAATGAAACAAATGATACATTTCGCTAAAACAAATTACATTCCAAATAAGATCAAATATGATCTTGCTCATCCAAGCAGTGGATAGGGCTTAGGTATGATACTCTCAATGGGACGGAAATGGAACTATCTGGGGGAAAGCGCCAATCCATTACGACTACATAGTACTTTAAGGGGTCAGTATAAGGATAAGGGATGGGACGGGGGAAAGTAATGATGCCCAACCACTTGGATGGTTGGGAATTGAACGCCGACCAGCATGAAGCGATACCGTCGCTCTACCGTCCAGCCCAAGTGGTTGGGTGAATAACATCATATATGGTTGTTTCCTCGGATCAATACACTCCCAACTAACTTTCAATGTAGACGAAAATCTCCACTGTTTAGAAAGCCCATGAAACACTGATTTTGTAGCCAAAGTCCTAATAAACATTAAACGGAGGAGAAAGGCTTCGACTTACCGAAGTAGAGTCCGTCCCAGTATGATAATACACGTTCTGGCCGACCACATAATCCCGGGAACAAAGTTTCCGCCTCTCGAAGCCATCGTACGCGTAGCGACATTGGTTGGCCCAGGCCTACAGCATCCCCCAAAAATATATATGTATTAATAAGATAAAAGGATTAGTTACATGCATGTATGTGTGTATGTTACAGCTACGTAATTGTTGTAGAGTATGCACGCAGATTAATTAAATGTTTGAACTCCTCATTTTGAAGAAGTCAACAATCACCTGAGCGACAGCTGCCAATTCTTCGTTCCAGTGCAGGACACACATGTTTGCTGCCTGCAGCTGCGGTCCAGGGCGCCCGCGGTGCTCGTCTCCTCTTGAAACCTGTGTAAGATAATGCAATACTTCATAGGCAAGATACAGCCCCGCTCCTGTGCCAGGTAAGTCAACTACGGGCTCACCATAGCCCGTACTACTTGGAACTCTCTGTTCCGAGTAGCTGATTGGTAACATTTAGTATAAGTATAGTACCCGATCCTTTTTTCTTTTTTTACAAAGTGTTCGTAAGCGTACAGCCTGCCATCGAATGTTAGCTGAGTAGTGTGGTCGTAGTCTCCATTACCTAGACTGCATAAGTTCATAAGAAACTGTGGAACAGTATCTTGGAAGTTGGACTGGGGATGGATATGAAAGAATAGGAGGGAGAGACAGGTTAAGGGAAAGATGGATGATATGAGGTTGTTGGGCTTGGCTATGGTTAGGACTCAGTGGTGAAGATTGGATGAGTTTCCTGTTTTCGATAATAGTTAATGATTATACATGTGCACCTTCATAATTCATGTTGTTATATTGAAATTGTCTTTTCCATTGTCTCCTTTTTTTAATCGTTCATCCTGAGATTGCTGGGAAGAGGTGTCAAATCCTGCTCCCTGTTGCATTTGTGTGTGTGTGTGTGTGTGTGTGTGTGTGTGTGTGTGTGTGTGTGTGTGTGTGTGTGTGTGTGTGTGTGTGTGTGTGTGTGTGTGTGTGTGTGTGTGTGTGTGTGTGTGTGTGTGTGTGTGTGTGTGTGTACGTCTCTCTCTTTAATTTTATATTGCTGAAAGGAAATTCAAATTCAAATTTTGTATTACCTCCGCATTTCCACCTTTCTCAGTGACAGTCAATGTTTACATTGGACTTAGCAACGCAGATCATAAGCGCTACGCTCAGTCAAAACCCAACCCACAGTCAGGTGGCACTGGAGCAGGTTGGGCAAGACCCAACCAATCAGGAGGCTTCTCAAGCTGGTGATCAAATGATGCACGAACAGTTCGTAGTTGGACGTCACTTAAGCTGTTCAAGGGATATGATACCAGTTCTAATCGTGTTATTGTTACAACTGATTCCTGTTCAAGTGCAGAGAAGGATAACGTTATTGATACTTTGAGTCAGGAACTTTTCAAACGAAGATAGAGTGAGTCTATTAGCCAGAAACGTTCCTGGTTATGAGAGAGATGCTTGGGCACATTTACTTTCACTTGATGCCCCTGTTTACCTTGTTGTAAATAGGTACCCGTAAGCTAGGAAAGTGTTGTGGGTTTAGTCCTGGGGGTGGTCAATAGTTTGCCTGATAGGGACCTAGATGAACCTATCCGGCATCCTGTCCCCGAATATTGGGAAACAAAGTGTCTCCCTCAACACTCGCTTTATAAAGAGTCGCAAAACAAAGAGAAATGTAAGAGAATTAGTTGTAGGTTAGGGTCTTAAGCAGGTCTCAAGTCTTAATACTATGAGCAATCAGGAAATATATCTTGGAGATGAATGTAGGAAAATGCTAGTTTAAAAATAGGGATGTTGATGTAAGCAAAGGGCTTCCAGCTAGTACAGGTGAGGAAAGCATTTCATCTCGTTACATGAATGGACTGCATAGGTATACATGGGGTGAGAGGGGAGGAGTTTAGACTGGACCTGATTATATTGTGTACTGTCAGACTTGCTACGGTGCTCCCTAATTCTTCTGTTCCAATGTTTGTGCGTCATACTGCCTTCCCCAAAGTTATTATTAAATCAACAAAAATGTGTATTGTTTTTACCAAACCGTTTTGCACTAATCTCCCAAGCATGGTTAACATAATTTTCACACAATTTCAACAGCCTTTGATATGCCAATAGGCAATAAGAGTTCTATATATGAAGACAAACATACAGCATCATCTAAAGACCTTACCTTAGCCCTGAAGACGTTATGTAGTCTAACGATTTCTTCCTTTTCCTCCTGAAGAATTCCTGCCCTCCTGATGTTACATTCCGCGTTGGGCTCCAGCGTCATGCTGTGTTGTGGGTGAATTTCGAAATAGTCGCATACAGGAAACTCCTCTGGTTGGGTTGGTTCTGTTGGCAGTAAGGGGAAGGGCTCGGTCGGCTGGATGCTGGGAGGAACTGTTACCAAAAAGGTATTAGGTTTGGTTTGGTAATAAGAGGCGTATTCTTCGGGATAACAGATTAAAGCATTGGCCGGATAGAATGTGATTGGTTCCACTGACTGGAAACCGGCATTCTTTTTCAGGACGAAGGTGACTTGCTCATCGTGCTCATAATTGTTTGGATCTGGTATATGGTAAGGCGTGTAGTGTGTTCCGTTGGTTGAGTAGCAGATTAGTGTGACTGGTGGCTTTGTGGTTGTTGAGGGCACTGGTCTCTCTGTCGATGGCTTTGGTGTGGAGTTGTCGACCGGCTTCGATTTTCCTTGCTTCTGAACACTTGCGACGAGTACTTTCCAAGGGTTGAATATAGTTATAGCTCGCTTCTGTATGTTTGAAGGTGAGCTTGAGTGCTCTCGTTGTGGTTTGAAAATGGAGGTCAATCGAGGTTGTGGTTGCTCTTGGTCTCTGGTTCCCACCACTATATGCGCTGAAAAGATGAGATTTCATGTTAAACATTAAGGGGTAAGTATAGGTCACTCGGTATGCTATATAAATGAATGAAATATTTTCAATGGTTATAAACATATTTCTGTTTGGAATCATATACAACCAACGTTTGCATTGTAGAGCTAGTACTACTATCCACAGTCTCCCCTGCTGCAGGGCCAAAGTGTAGCAGGTATGGATAAATCTCACTCTTATCTAATATACTTAAATCTCTATGGTACTGTTCTCAAGTCGAATAAAATAAAAAATAACAATTTTGAATTACTGATTGCCAAATTTAAATTCAAGTCCACATTCCAACCATTCACAAGAATCTCATCGATAAATAAATCAATTTAATTAATAAAAAAAAACTTTCAGTGCAAAACTTTCACTCCCATAAACAGCCAGAATTCAGTGGGTCTACGTTAGCAACACTCCCACTATCTCACAAATGCCATATTTCTTAGTTAGTGAAACAAATTATACTCACCTCATATACATATCAAATCAGAAATTCAATTGGAGCTCAGAGGTGACTCGAACCTGCAATTAGTGTTCTCCGAAGCCGCTCACCTTAACCCTGTACCACGACATGGTTTTATACAACCTGGAATTCCACTGAATCCACAGGAAGTATGGAGGCTTCTACTGAACCCAGTACAAGTTTTACATATAACCCCTCCCCCCCCTTCCCAAGCTTCTCACAGCTTTTCAACTAGCAATGGACGAAACACCTAACAAAAGTTTATTCTCCTATATGTACAGCAATTCTGGAGAGATGTCTGCGATCCTCTTATTATGTAAACATTCAATGTTTACAAGATGCACATCCAGGACAACTTCGCTGACAGCCACAAATTGGAAGGCGCAACACAAGATGCTCACATATCAACAGTCGTATGCTGACTCTGCGTCTCTTGAGAACATAACTTCCACAGCAATCATTCATTCCTTGGCTGATATATGAAAGAAAGTTAACATAAGTAAATTTTTCAGTGTCAGCCGAGAAAGAGATGAAGAGAGAGACAGTCAGACAGAGACAATGACAGATAGATAGACAGTTAGAAACATTTCCCTTCAAGATGACATATAAAAACAACATCAGCAAAGAAAGACACAGAGTGATAGCGAGACATAACACAGCCCCTGTGTCCAGCTCACAGCTGAAGGAGCAACAACATCATCTCACCTTGAACAAGCAGCAGGAAAAGCAGAAGCAGAGTGAGCAGCGATGAACCCACAGCCTCCATGGTCAGCAGACAAGTGGGCCCTCCATACCAGCCACTCCTCTATATATACCTTACTCCACCACAGCTGCATCAGGCTCTCACAACTTGCCGGCTTAATTAAACCAGCTAAACAATAATTACTAACATTAGACTAATAAATAATTAAGAGTCTTACTCATTCGGGTCATTCACTAAACCTTATATATGTACATGGGAACCCATTTCATATTCACCATGAAAACTGAAGACAAGATTTAACAAAGGCCGTGGGGACAAATACTCACAATTGAAAATGGGGACAATAATCACTATAGTGAGTGAGAACAGTACTCACCGTAGACAGTCGGGACAATATTCACCGTAGACAGTGGAAACAATACTCACCCTAGAGAGTAAGGACAATACTCACCGTTGAAAATGGGGATAAGACTCACCAACACAGTGAGGAAAATAAACACCGTAGACATTGAGGGACAATACTCACCATATAGAGTGGGGACAATACTAACCATCAGTTCTAAACACTCAGCAATATATATTCATATCAATACCCGCTTCATGCAGGTTGGCGTTCAATCCCCGACCGTCCAAGTGGTTGGACACAACTCCTTCCCCTCGTCCCATCCCAAATCCTTGTCCTGACCCCTTCTGAGTGCTATATAGACGAAATGAGCTGGCGCTCTCTCCTGATAGTTCTCTTCCCTTTCCCCTATAAATATTTTTCAAAAAATATTATATACATCTAATTAAAGCCGGACTGACATTCAGAACACCAGCTGTTGTCAGATAAAGTCAGCGAGTGGCTGACCGGCTAATTATGAAACTGGACTAACACTTGCGTTAAAAAATTAATTATGATGAAAGCTTTTATTAATATTTCAGTCAAAGCTTCAGCATCATTAAAATTCCATGTAGTTATTATATACCAACCCGAATGAAATCGATGTTCCTTCAATCTAAAATTAATTCCACCAAAAATATGCTGGTAAAATATATTAGAAAGACATATTAAGTATAGAAAGACAAAGAGTATATTAAGCAGCATTTTGGCCGTTCTTGTCCCTAATCTGAATGATTAGGGACAAGAACTAATCTTGATAATCTGAATGTTTGGAATGATAAAACATTTTTCACGCACACACAAAGACACGGACGAGTGGCAAACGTCATCGATTTGCAATCTAGGGATCAGGGTTAGATTCCATGGCAAAACCGAAATTAGGCAAAGTTTCATGCACCTGATGGCTCTCTTCACTTATCAGTAATTAGGTAACAGGGAGCTAGAACGCAAGTATGAGCTGCATCTTGGGGAGGTGTGTTTCTGGGAGTGTTTAATATATATATATATATATATATATATATATATATATATATATATATATATATATATATATATATATATATATATATATATATATAATATATATATATATATATATATATATATATATATATATATATATATATAATATATATATATATATATATATATATATATATATATTATATATATATATATATATATATATATATATATATATATATATATATATATATATATATATATATATATATATATATATATTATATATATATATATATGTATGAGAAAAATGCCTGGAATCAGTACATTAGACAGCCGCCGTTTAGAAAGGTGGGGTACAAGAGCTAATAACGTCGTTCCTGCATATACAAATAGGTGAGATAGGTGAGTATGAGTACAGAAAGAGAGAGAGAGAGAGAGAGAGAGAGAGAGAGAGAGAGAGAGAGAGAGAGAGAGAGAGAGAGAGAGAGAGAGAGAGAGAGAGAGAGAGAAGAGAGAGAGAGAGAGAGAGAGAGAGAGAGAGAGAGAGAGAGAGAGAGAGAGAGAGAGAGAGAGAGAGAGAGAGAGAGAGAGAGAGAGAGAGAGAGAGAGAGAGAGAGAGAGAGAGAGAGAGAGAGAGAGAGAGAGAGAGAGAGAGAGAGAGAGAGAGAGAGAGAGAGAGAGAGAGAGAGAGAGAGAGAGAGAGAGAGAGAGAGAGAGAGAGAGAGAGAGAGAGAGAGAGAGAGAGAGAGAGAGAGAGAGAGAGAGAGATGCTTGCCACAACAGCCACGAAGATCAACAACATCAACTCCCAGACACATCACACAACACTCTCACTAGACTACACATCCTCCTCGGCTTCTCTCTCTCTTACATACACCACTTCACAACCACACTTTATCAAATACATAATTAAATATAATTTACTCTATCAAAAATTATTATAATTCCGTATATAAGACATATTAATATTTAATATTCCAATGATTTAACTACCTACTTTTTTTTCTAAACCCTGTATGCTACAGGATTTAGCAAAAACAGCAGGCTTAGGCTGACATAATTTATTATTACAAAATATATTGTGGTTTTAGGACGTCGATATTCTCACTGTTCTGTAACTCTCTTGATCTCTCTCATCACATTATCCACGCCACCAACTACAATATCCACGTCAACAACAACAATATCCACGCCACCAACTACAATATCCATGTCACCAACTACAATATCCACGTCACCAACTACAATATCCACGTCACCAACAACAATATTCACGTCACCAACAACAATATCTACGCTACCAGTAATAATATCCACGTTGGTAACAGCTATATCCGGTTAGATATATATATACCATACACACAGTTATATGTCCTCATATACCTGGCATTTTTACACATGTGTCTTGTATCATGGCAATAAATATTCAAGTTCATCCAATCATGGCAATATTTACCATGTTTTCTCCATAATTTCTCATGTCTTTTTTTATCATTTACTTATATATGTGTTTTTTCCTCTTATGCATATTTACTCAGTTTTTATCCATCTATGAGACATAAACACACTTTTTTTACCTATCACGTTAAATATTCTCATACTTTTTATATCGTTGCCATATTTACAACACTTTTCCATCCTTGCCGTATTTACACACCTTCTTTCCGTAAATGCCCCGTTTGCACACTTTGCAATTTCCACAGATTGTTCCGGTGAATTATTAATCACGAGGGATTGTGTCTGCTGGGAGGAGAGTGAAATATTACTGCACTCAAATCCAATGACAATCGCGGTCTAATCGGCTTAATGTTACCGAGCGCTTGTAACCCAATTTCATTATTAAGGCTTTAATCAGTTGCGAAATTCCTGATGCCCAATATTAGATTTCACGTCATTTTCTATGTTCACAGTCAAACGTAAATAAAAAAAAAAGTCGAACGTTGTTTTTGTTCTCTGCCTATTTCAGAGTTTTTTCTTGTTGTGTTTGGAGGTCTTCAGACATATCAACTGCAAAATGGTATTCTGGAAATCATAAAAGTATATTGATATCAAGTAAGCTTAATGTGGAGCTAAATGGGGAACTTTATTATTCTAGAATAAAGGATATATTTAGTATACACATCGATAAACAGGATACATTTGCAAGTTTAGTTATCTATGTTGAGATATGTGTACCAAGGGCACAATCAGTATACTGTGTGGGATAAGCTGATAGGTGTATCAATTTTGGAAAAGCGTTCTATCTAATATTCAGACGTTATTATGAGTAAGTTATGACTTTACACGCGAAGAAACGAATATCGTGAAGGTAAAACAGAGAAGCAGCATCTAAATGCAAACTGATATAGGTAAACAGTAATCCATTGACCTCTGAGGCACCAGTGATTTCACAGCATATTAATACACAATTCCAGCATCTAAGACGTTCCTAGGAATTATAGAGGGAGGTAAATTCCCGTTGGCCAATTGAGTATGTTGTATGACAAAAATGACTGAATAGTCCCTGAATAGACTGAAGAAAATTTTAAAAGACTGAATAGGTTTTTAGTTACTTAGAAATATACATCATTCCCTAACTCAAGCTCAAACACATACTTGCCTTGTACATGCGAAGAAGAGATAATTTACATTAATTATTCTTTCGTTATAACTGTCTTTTCAACAATCAGTGAGAAGTCTTTCTCTCAAAACTAGGATTTTGCCTCTAAATGAATACCTAAGAAATCTGCGATAGGGGGTTCTTTCATACTGTTGTCATTTCTGAAATTCTTAAAGAAATCATACAATGCAGTAGAGGAATAAGGATGAGCTCCACTACAAATTTAGAAATAATCTTCAAGAATATTTGCTGAATTAATTACCCACCAACATGCAAGAGGCAACCGAACATATAAACATGTTAAATAAACATGATAGAGTGTCGCCCTCACGTGTGGGGTCCATGGTTCGAACTCCATACAGCCTAGATGAATGGAATATAAACCTGTTAATCATAGAGAGAGTACACAGCACATCATTGGGAGGGGGGGAAACATTGCAATAAATCATCAGTATGCAGCCTTATGGAGTTTCTCTTGATACATTGGCAACTCTTCTCTGCCTATCTGAAACCATAAGAGACAATGTCTGTCTGTTTGTCTGTCTATTTACCTGTTCTGTATCTTTAGTTATATCTGGTGGCCTCAGGCATTTTAAATTGTTTTCTAATTCCTTGTATTCTTTTGTAAAAACCTGAAATCATCCGACCATAGTTCTCATCAAACAGGGAACGATGCCACATAATTATTTACCATAAAGTTCACCTGACAATCAGCTGAACCATCATTAAGCTTACCATCATCAACCCTTTCCACTTTTGTCTCGACTGGAAATCCTCTTCTATATCATGTCACGAAATTAAAATTCTGTGCCGCACTCCATATGATTTTATATCACTGTTGCTAACAAACAAAATCCCTCCCACACTGAATCTCACAACAAATGATTCCATTTGAGCCTGGAAGAGCACAATAGCAGCCGAGATAGTTTGAACAATGGAATGTAATCTTTACTTGATATGCCAAAAAGGTGGTTGGTGTAGCATACCTACACTCACCGCTGCTGTATTTTTTAATCTTGCAAAACACAACACATCAATGTCTGTTATATAAATAACCATTCCTGACACTTTTATTTAATTTATAACTATTATATTTATATATATATTTCCTTTTAACTTACTCATT